TATATATATATATATTCACTTTAAACGTTATTTTTTGTGGATATTCATATTTTAAAAATATTTTTATCATTTGAGCAGATTATTTAGTATGTTCGTGTCAATTTGCTGTCACAAATACTGAAACAAACAAAATATATATATATATATATTAAGGAAACCATTTTACATCTGTTGTTCGCCTAATTTTTATGCAGCACCCTCTCATAGGGACATCGAAAGATAGAAATAGACAAAAATATAAAATCACTGGTACTGTTATAGAAAACTGAAACACTTAGGAATTATCCATTGATCTTACAAATGTTTGATGTTTAAGCTTAGGTAATACCTGAATATTCGTGTGCTGCTTTTAAAGACTGATAAAAAAAAAATTTCCTCATTTTTGATATTGACAATATTTCTATTCGCATTCTCTCAACCCATTGTAGAGGACAATAAACTAAATCAATCCCACAAACTATTAAGAAAACCTTCGTCGTTTTTACAGAATTACGAAATAAAAGAAATTTTTTTTTTTTTTTTTTTGTTAATATACCTTACAAAATCCTAGTAAGCTTTATATGATTGTAAATGTGGTACTAGCCAATGTTTGAGAGAAGTGGGCAATAAATTCAGGTCGACAGTTTTGGTTGCTAAGTAACGGGACTATTAAGCTCTCATTCCAATCTACAAACAAATCTAACCGTCCCAGGCATTTAGGTGTGTCTAAAGAGATCATTCTAGACATGACAAATATTTTGCTCATCTTTACAGCAATCAATGTTCTATCAGTTTTAGTATTAACTATCTACACAAACGTGTGTATTTAAAGTCTTTTTTATTATCTAACAAATTCTTTAATAACGTGAACTATGTTAGGTATGTCAGCTACAAAAAATTATCCGTTTTATATAATCTTTATGAATACGTCTGACTTTAGATATGCACAGATTGAGAAAGAAAGAAAGAAAGAAAGAAAGAAAGAAAGAAAGAAAGAAAGAAAGAAAGAAAGATTTCTACCGGAATAAACATAGACAAAAGGAACATCCATACGCACTTATACATTAATAGAATATGATCTCTTTTCGGTGGAACAAATTAACATGCTAGTCTCCAAAACGATTAATGATGTAGTGAGTTCGATTCTTACCAGGCCTTTTATTGTACTTAGCTCGTGTTTGAAAATAACCCCCTTGATTATTATGTGTGGCCCGCAGTTGAGCGAGAGACCAACAAAACTCCTTATAACAGCAAACATGAACTGAAGGCAAGGATTATGACAGCATTCACCAACTAAAACGAGGACACCGTCCAGAAGAGTTAAAGAAAATTCCGAAGTCGTCTGGAGGCCGCGGTTGAAGCCGATAGCGATTTTATTGAATAAATTTATTCTCTAGTATTTCAAGATATTTTAAGTGCAATTTTCGTAAATATTTCTATTAAAAAAAGATGTCAGTGTTATTTTCATTTTTGCATAATTTGAACGAAAATTTATCCATCGCACGCTATAGATAGATAGATAGATAGATAGATAGATAGATAGATAGATAGATAGATAGATAGATAGATAGATAGATAGATGAATGTAAATACATATATATAGCGAGAGAGATTATATACATAGATAGATAGATAGATAGATAGATAGATAGATAGATAGATAGATAGAAAGAGAGAGATAGTTATAGATATAGAGATAGATATAGATGGATAGATATATAGTTATACAGATAGATAGATAGATAGATAGATAGATAGATAGATAGATAGATGTAGATACATATATATAGCGAGAGAGATTATATATATATATATATATATAGATAAGATAGATAGATAGATAGATAGATAGATAGATAGATAGAGATAGTTATAGAGATAGATATAGATGGATAGATATATAGCTATACAGATAGATAGATAGATAGATAGATAGATAGATAGATAGATAGATATAGCGAGAGAGATTATATATATATATATATATATATATATAGATAGATAGATAGATAGATAGATAGATAGATAGATAGATATGGATCAGACTAAGTTATTACATTCTTTCACTTCAAATAGATATTACGAAAGGACTGAAAAGTATTTTAAATAAAGAGTTAATAACTAAAGAATATTATATTTGTCTGTGAGAACTGCTTTATGACACCAATTTGAACAGTGATGTAACTGGAATAAAGTCGGTTTACTTAGCTATTAACTTCATATTTACTTAGTAAGACAAAAGATCAAAGTTTAAAATGCTATCATTGTATCGAACCAAGGCGATACCTATATCAGGCCTGGAAGACATGCGACTGGGACCTCCGACTGTGGACAGACATATAGAGACCTAAATTACAATTTAGACTTTTCAAAAAGAAATCTTTACTTTTTACTCTTAGATTAAATTAAGCTTCTTATTTAAGACGTTAAAGTAAATATAAGGTTCATTTATTTTATTTTAACTTTTTAGATGTCAAATTGACAAAACATTGTCATTAAGAATTATATCACATATGTAAAATATTATTCTTTATTATACTGTTTTTCATTTAAAAAAAATGAAATATTGTTTTTAAAATTTAGTTTTTATGAATATTTTTTTCTTTCTGATAGGTATTTAAAAAATTATTTTGAATTTTAATTTTCCCTTCTTTCGTAAATAGAGGACAAAAATATAAATTTTCACACTGCTTAATTAATGAAAAATGTTTTTCATTATTAATTTTATCACAGAAAGTTAATGTCATAATTAAATTCTGTAAATTCAATTTAATATTTTACAAGTTCTTTAAAATATATTGCAAATAATGTAAGAGAAGAAACAATACTGAAGTATAGTTTATTTTATTTTATACTATGAAACTCTCTAAAACGTCATTATTAAGAACTTTGTCATATAGCGTTAATATGTTTCTCTAAAATAATAAATATATTGATTATAAAATTTATTTTTGGGAATAATTTGTTCTTTCAAACCTTTTTTTAATAAATAATGTATAATATCAGAAATAGATAAAATATATAACTTATATGCACATAGGTACAAAATCCTATTTGCCAGTTCAACTGTTATGAATAATCAAGAGTGGTAGCCCCTGATTTTGTCACTTCATCTTGGAGAGAGCTATTTCTGTTTACTGCGACTATGAAAGGACACTATACGCAAACCTTGTATTCTCAGTTGAATAAAGCTTGACATTTTTATATATTTTTGTATTTAGTCATTTTGAAATTTTTATATCATAAGGTGTTTTTGTAGATTCCCCCTGTGAATATGTTGTATTGTGGTATGTGCAGGATCGATTGGTGATGAATGAGTTCTTGTGGTAAATAGATCAATTGTATTGGATGAATGAATCGTGATCGTGATTAGCTAGGACTAGGATAATTAGCGAAAACCAGCCTCTCTTCTCTCTTTCCCCTTCGGCAATGTGCCACATTTATTGTGTATTTTACAATAATAAATAAACCGTTGAATAAAGCTTCCTACACTTTTTTTTAAGCATTACGCCCCGAGCAAGGCGTGAAGCCACTAGGATGCAGGGGGTTGCAGAAGATTTGGAGCGAGAGCAGATAGGAGTGATAGAAGAAAGGATGGGGAGAAGGATAGTGGGGATATCAAGGTAACTGGAGGTTATAGCTCTCAGGAAAACAGTAATTGGGAAGGGTGTTCCACAGACGAGAGGTGCGAAGTATGAAGCTATTGGAGTAGAAGAGACGGCTACATTTAAAAGTTTCTACAGTGTAAGGGTGGGAGCGGAATGCCAGCCTCGTAGGGCGCTTGAATTCATGGAGTCTGGTAACCAGTGAAAGCAGCTCATCGGAGCAATTACCATGAAAGTATTTGTAGAAAAGACAGAGAGAGGCGACGGCGCGTCAGTGAGAGAGTGACTGTAGACGAGACGCCAGATCAGGGCCAATTATATTACATATCCGTCTCTGGATCTTGTCATGAACTCCGAGGTAAACAGAAGGTGCCCCAGACCATATATGGCAGCAATACTCCATGCAAGGGCGAATGGTTGATTTGTATATTTGAAGTATCGATTCCGGGGAGAAAGATTTCCTGGCGCGGCACAGAGAGCCAACTTTCCTAGCAACTTTTGTACTGCGTACTTTTGTCATTACACCCACTACACGTAAGTTAATTTGGCAAAAATGCAAGTTACCCATGCGGATCGAACACACTACAGTACCGTGTGGGTTTACGTGTTCATGTATTAGAAACACGTGTGTAACTCCTGGTAGAATAATAAAAGGTCCAACTACAAGAAAATGGCCAGACTTGAATTAAGTCCAACTGAAGATAAAGAAGACAAACAAGATCCAAATATATAATATATATATATATATATATATATATATATATATATATATATATATATATATATATATATATATATATATATATATATATTATTTTTTTATAATGTAGAAAATAACGATTAAAATGATTCTTCATTTCTGCCCTGCACTTCAAAATGAAATGTTTTTGTCAAGTTTCTCCTTTTTTTTTTTTTTTTTTTCACATCCTTCTTTTCTCTTTATTTTTTCTTTTTTTTTAATGGTTTTTGTGAACCAGGATGTGTATCTGACACCCAAGTGAAACAATCAGCCAACCCTATATCATTTATTCGTTTTTATTTTCTTTCCTTCGTTCCATAAGGTTTACATTGGAGAATCTTCAAAACTCCGGAGTATCAGATATTTATATTTTCAGAAAAAGGCACATCTTCAGCAACACGTGGGAACCCCTTTCTCTCACTCACAAAGCTTAAAATCAACTTATTTATTATTTATTACTTTCTCTGCTTCACACACACTATATTACAGATTATTTATTGTAATGCATAAAGATACAACAGAAGAAATCTCCCAAATTAGTTCATAAAAATGACGGAATATTCCATCAGAATAACAAACACAAGACAGTATGTCTCATCGATACCAAACAAAAAATGTGTCTATTTGACTGGGAAGTTTTCCCACGTCTGCTGTACCACACCGGATTATCATTTATTTACGGCTAAAGCACGCTGAAATCTCCGGTTCTCGTTCGATCACCGAAGTTAAGTAGCATCGAGCCTCGTCGGCACTTAAATGGGAGATCGTTTTGGAACATCGGATACTGTAAGCAGTGGCGGTTAGTAAAGCCTGACAAAAGAAGCCTATTTTTGAAATGCGGGGGTGGTGTAGCGCATACAACGACAGACTTGTCTCGGATTATTTAGCGTAAGAACGTCACTGTCAATTGCAAAGAGATTCAAATAAGACATTGCGAACTAGTAGGAATTGCGACCCTTACTTGTAAACGGTTCCCATGGATTGCTACTGAAAAACATTATGATTACAGAATCTACCAATTCATCATAATGTCCGTTCGAGAAAGATGAAAAAAAAAAACATTCTGATCTTTAGAAAATTTTTAGCTTCTTCCCGCCAACTTCTTCCCAGCAGACTCCCATGAGAATGTTTCCCCGATCACTACAATCTTAACCTGTTCAAGTCTAGAGTTAACTGTTATCTTCCTCTCCTATCCGTATAAACTACCACTTGACAGTAGTCCTCTACCTAGAGTGATCCCCGCGCCTTGTACAGGGTGAACCTTACTGTAAAAAAAAATCAATTCCCTGGAAAAACTGGAACATTGTGAGACGTTTTCTGTTTATATGAAAAGCAGACAAATAAACATTAAGAGATTTTGGTAATGAGCCTTAATGGAAAAGCAATGAAATGAGGAAAGAGAGGCCCTGAAATAATGGGAAAGCAACAAGGAAAAAGAAAAATAACACGAAAGAAAAAATTCGGAAAAATAAATAACACAGAAATGAAGAATAACATTTAATGGAATCACAAATGAAAAAAAAAAGTAGAAACTGAAAGCGAGGCTAAGCGAAAATTCGTAACTGAAGCAAGAAAGAAACATTTGACTTCGACATAAAAAAAGTAAAATGCCTTGCTGGTTAATTTGAATAATACGACCTTCTTGAATTAAAGATCAACGCTTTCAAACGTTTGGACAATATTGTCAACAAATAATTCATTTAAAAAAAAGAAAAGAGTGCACTAAAATTACTTAAAATAATATTCTTCAAATTGTTTGTTTATTTAGATTTCTCGATTTCCTTGGTGACAACTATTTTCGAATAGTCTAACCAGGTTCAGTATGTGTAATATAAAAGACATTCCAAACTCAAAAGCGATTTTCGATTTTCATGTAAGCACTTTCAGAAAACATTTTTTCTTCTTTGCTTTTGTTCACAACAATGATTCATTCTCAAAATATTTTTCATGAATTTGATTGATTCAGGAAATAAAATGAACGAGAAAGGACCCCATCAGTGACACTAGTGACTAAATATTGACTTTAAACAAATGTTTCAAACAGTATATCGATGGTGACATAGTAAATGTGAGTTCAACCCCTAGATCGAGGGGTGACAGAACTACTTTCAACTCGGAAATAATTTCAACTCAATTTAAAATCAAAATTATCACTATCTGTTAATTCTTAAACAAAAGTTGGTGTTCATTTTTTTTTAATTTAGCATTAAAAATCCTTAGTAGATAAGATAATTCAAAATTCATCATTTCTGCAACTTTCATTCATTTTTTTTTTTTTTTTGAAAATGAATAAAGTGGTATTTTTTTATTTTCTTTTATTCATTTAAATCTAATTCAATAAAAATTCAATGTTCTTTGTAGCAATAACAGTAGATTGCTTTGCTTTTTGCAAAAAAACTCTCGTTCAAAAAGCCGTTAGTGATTAAAATTTAAGAAAATGAATAAATTAAATTTTAATTTCGTTTGAATAGTTCCGAGTTGAAAGTAGTTCCGAGTCGAAATTATTTCCGAGTTGAAATTAATTCTGCATGCCAGATCGAGCCGTGTATATTTGGACTCAGTAGAAACGGGACGGGCAGCAAGTGAGCAGCACCAAAATAAGAACTAAACAAGATATCCGTGGAGTTTTGAGATTCGGAGATTCTGGTTCAACCATAAAAAGTTTTCCCTCATCCAATATTTTATGCACTAGTTTGATTTTATAGCATTATTTTGTTTGTTCCAAGGCAGTAAAGCCACTAAGACATAAGGAGTTACTGAATGTGAAAGAAAAAGGAAAACATTGGAACATTATTAAAGAACAAAAACAAGAAGAGTAATGAAGAAGACAGCAGAATAATGACAAAAGTACGCAGATGTAGGCTTTAAGAAAGCTTTATGCCACTGAAAATACAAGGTTCACGTATAGTGTCCTTTTATAGTCCCAATGAACAGAAATAGCTCTCTCAGAGAGGAGAGTAACAAAACAAGGCGAGACCACTCTTGATTATTGATAACAAGTAGATAACGATTGATATTGCATTTAAATTTTTGAGGATCAAGTTTAACTTGAAAGCATGGCGTATGAAGAGAGTTCCACAGGCAAGAAGTGCGAGAAAAGAAACTGTTAGCATAGAACTTATGGTTAAATCTAGCCATTTCAACTGTAAAATGACAAGACTTTGGCGCCAGTTTAGTCTTGCGATTCAATTCATAAAGTCTAGGTACCATAGCGAAGAGTTTATCCAAACATTTACCATAATGTATTTTTAGAAAAGGCACAGGGAGGCAACTTTACGTCGGTGGGAAAGTGACTGAGAACAGTAAACCTAGCAATGGATTCAATAAAATCTTTTCACTTCATGTCAGCCCAGAATGTAAGCCTGATAAGGCGCTACAAGTCACTCTTCTGGAAGTTAGTATAGGCTATGGTAATAGGCGTCAGGAAGCGGTCTTACAGGCGATTGATAAAGAGAGGCTCCGTTTTGGAGGCATTAAAATTAACAAGCCATTCCTTGTCCCAGTTAACAATTATTCTTTAGATCAGCCGCCAATTTGAGCTGAACGAACTGATCAAACTTAAAATCGATACAAGAGTAAATGGTTGCGTCATCAGCATAGATACCAAGTTGAGAAATGATATCATCAGGAATCATTGACGAAAATTTAAGAACAAGTAGCTCCAAGAATAGAGACCTGGGTGAAATTTTAATTAGTACAAAAGGATCTAGAAACGTGGCCGTTCAAGACAACTTTCATTTCCCGATTTTATAAGAAAGTTTGAATCAGTTTAAAAATTTCAACTTATGAAGAAGACCGGTATGCCAAACCCTGTCAAACGCTTTCGAGATATCCAAAGCAATAGCTTTATCTTAAACTTGAAAAACTCTTTCAACAGTAATCATTAGTACATCAGCAGTTGACCCAGAGAAGCGAAAGCCATATTGCTTGTTGATAATAATATTGAAGGGCAACTCTCTATATTTATATAATAATATTTACTAAGAACTATCCACCATATCTTACGTTCATATCACACAACTTATTCAGTAATTCTCTGCCTTGAGTGGCTTTTGAGCCTTGAACTGAGTAAACATTATTTTTGTTAAAGATTTATAAAATCAAAAGATTTTTATTATAAGTTGGAGAAGGTAAATCGCCCGTATTTCTACATTTGGTGAAGAATTGAGCAAATTTAAACATAAAAGAAAAATGTAGATTCAAAATTTATATACAGTATCTTTTAATTTTATGTTGTGATTATATTATACAATACATTTAATGTATATGTAAAAATATGTGTAAGAAAGTTGAATTGCGAGTGAGTAAAGAAAAAGTTCAAACGTCTTTTCGTAAAAAATGAATGCAAGTCTGAAACGGCAAATGTGTTTCATAAAATTTATAATATCAGAATTACACACTCTTTGTTTTAAACATCGGAGATGAATATTTGTATTCCTTTTTTTTCTTTTTTCTTACTTTTTTTTTTTTTTTTTTTTTTTTGTATCATAAAAGTTATTCCTGCGAGGCCGACCTTGGTCAGTGACATTTATCTACAGCGAGGATTGTCTGGTATGGGAATGACGTGTAGCCTTTTTTGTGATCATAGGAGTTATTGCTGCGAGGCGGAGCTCGGTCAGCATCATTTATTTACCGCGAGGATTGTCTGGCACGAGAGTAACGTGAAGCTTCTTTTTTTTTCTGATCATAGGAGTTATTGCTGCGAGGCTGAGCTCGGTCAGCGTCATTTATCTACCGCGAGGATTGTCTGGCATGAGAGTAACGTGAAGCTTCTTTTTTTTTTCTGATCATAGGAGTTATTGCTGCGAGGCTGAGCTCGGTCCCCGTCATTTATCTACCGCGAGGATTGTCTGGCATGAGAGTAACGTGAAGCTTTTTTTTTTCTGATCATAGGAGTTATTGCTGCAAGGCTGAGCTCGGTCAGCGTCATTTATCTACCGCGAGGATTGTCTGGCATGAGAGTAACGTGAGGCTTTTTTTTGTGTGTGATCATAGGAGTTATTGCTGCGAGGCTGAGCTAGGTTAGCGTCATTTATCTACCGCGAGGATTGTCTGGCATGAGAGTAACGTGAAGCTTCTTTTTTTTCTGATCATAGGAGTTATTGCTGCGAGCCTGAGCTCGGTCCCCGTCATTTATCTACCGCGAGGATTGTCTGGCACGGGAGTAACGTGAAGCTTTTTTTTTTATCATAGGAGTTATTGCTGCGAAGCTGAGCTCGGTTAGCGTCATTTATTTACCGCGAGGATTGTCTGGCATGGGAGTAACGTGAAGCCTTTTTTGTGATCATAGGAGTTATTGCAGCGAGGGCGAGCTCGGTCGGCGTCATTTATCTACCGCGACGATTGTCTGGGATAGGAGTAACGTGAAGCTTTTTTTGTGATCTTGGGAGTTATTTCTGCGAGGCTGAGATCGGTCGGCGTCATTTATCTACAGCGACGATTGTCTGGCATGAGAGTAACGTGAAGCTTTTTTTTTGTGATCATAGGAGTTATTGCTGCGAGGCTGAGCTCGGTCAGCGTCATTTATCTACCGCGAGGATTGTCTGGCATGGGTGTAACGAGAAGCTTCTTTTTTGTGATCATAGGATAACTCCTATGATCACAAAAAAAGCTTCTCGTACACCCATGTAACGTAACGTCATTTATCTACCGCGAGGATTGTCTGGCATGAGAGTAACGTGAAGCTTCTCTTTTTTTTTTTCTGATCATAGGAGTTATTGCTGCGAGGCTGAGCTCGGTTAGCGTCATTTATCTACCGCGAGGATTGTCTGGCATGGGTGTAACGAGAAGCTTCTTTTTTTTGTGATCATAGGAGTTATCCTATGATCACAAAAAAAGAAGCTTCTCGTTACACCCATGTAACGTAGCGTCATTTATCTACCGCGAGGATTGTCTGGCATGAGAGTAACGTGAAGCTTCTTTTTTTTTTCTGATCATAGGAGTTATTGCTGCGAGGCTGGGCTCGGTTAGCGTCATTTATCTACCGCGAGGATTGTCTGGCATGAGAGTAACGTGAAGCTTTTTTTTTTGTGATCATAGGAGTTATTGCTGCGAGTCTGATCTCGGTCCCCGTCATTTATCTACCGCGAGGATTGTCTGGCATGGGAGTAACGTGCAGCTTTTTTTTTGTGATCATAGGAGTTATTGCTGCGAGGCTGAGCTCGGTCAGCGTCATTTATCTACCGTGACGATTGTCTGGCATAGGTGTAACGTGAAGCATCTTTTTTTTTTGTGTTCATAGGAGTTATTGCTGCGATGCCGAGCTCGGTCGGCGTCATATATCTACCGGGAGGATTGTCTGGCATGAGAGTAACCTGAAGCATTTTTTTTCTGATCATAGGAGTTATTGCTGCGAAGCTGAGCTCGGTCAGCGTCATTTATCTACCGCGAGGAGTGTCTGGCATGGGAGTAATGTGAAGCTTCTTTTTTTGTGATCATAGGAGTTATTGCTTCGAGGCTGAGCTCGGTCCCCGTCATTTATCTACCGTGAGGATTGTCTGGCATGAGAGTAACGTGAAGTTTTTTTTTTTTTTTTGAGATCATAGGAGTCATTGCTTCGAGGCTGAGCTCGGTCGGTGTCATTTATCTACCGCGAGTTTTTTCCACGTGTCAATGCTGGAAATCGCTCTTTGTGTATATGTTTTTTTGTTTTTTTGTGTACCATCACATTAGAACAAAGTCGATCAGAATGAATGTTTTTGATGGAGAATCTCCCGAGTGCTTTTTTTCGGTTGTTGAATCTTCGTTTAATGTTGTGGTTTCTAATGTTGCGATATCGTCACCGCGAGGAATATGAGGATACTGAATCTTTAGGGTTGGTTTATTAAGGAAACTCCAGATTTTTCTTTGGCGATTTTTCATAAAATTTTACATTGCAAAAATTTTACCAATCAAAATATTTCAAATGTATACTTAGGATATATACGAGCGGTAATTGCTGAGGTAAAGTTGGAAACGCTGCTGTGTGAAATTTGTTTTGATAAAGAACGGAACTTTTTCTGATGTTAGCGAACACTCGTTGCCACTTTTGTAATGTCGACGAATACGCATTGTCACTTTCGAAATGCTCGTTGTAGTAGAGATTTTGTAATCGCAAATAAAACTATAGACGCCTTTGAATAATACTGGTATCAGATGCCTTCGAATATCACTCGCACTAATAGTTCTTGCATGGTAATACTCGTAATAGTAATCCGTATAGTGATCGGAATAGATCAGAATAGTATAGTGAATAGAGTAGAGAATAGCGGTCCGTATAGTACTAGAGGATAGACTAGAAATGAGAATCTAGATAGTATAAAGGATAGAAAAAAAATAGCGATCAATTAGACGTCACGCGACTTCCTACTTATGCGTTTCTTCTATGGCCACGTGGTTTACTTAATTCAATAATGGGATCGCCTGTGTTTGCTCACTGGCGATCTATGTTCAAACTCAAGTGTCGGCAGCTATATTTTATTCCTCTATAACAGAACTACTGCTCAAATATTGTTGAGATGTCTTTGCTCATATGTGATGTTATTGTTATTGTGTGGCATTTTGGTAAAGATTAACAAACGTAAATCTTTTATAAAAAAATATTAATTTGTCATTTTAAAATTGTATTGAAAAAGAACTAGGAGCATAATTCGCTTTAATTTAGGTTTTTGTAATGCATTATTTTGTTGCCAGTTATGTGAATAAAGATTAAAATAAAGACAATGGTTTTGTTATTTACACATCAAAGCAATATTGTTTTTCATCAATTCTGAAAGGGGTGCTAGGACTGATTGGTGGTTGGGAAGTGGTGCGACACCTTTATCCACTGTGCCATGTCTCCTCAAGGCACAGTGGATAAAGGCGTTGGTTAGATCCAGTGACAGAACGCAAAGTGTGTGAGTTCAATACCCGGTTAAGGCAGTGGAGAAATTTTAGAGGGAAATTAACAGGAGATAACTGATAACTGACATCCATTAGACATGGCACGTGGAACTAGAATAGCCTACCCCAGTGAGTGAAATAAAGGGTTCACTTCAACATTCCAACCACCTGAAGAAGGCCGGAGCGTACAATGGCCGAAACGTTGTAATAAATATGGCGACAAAGATGAGGACAATAGTCCGAATAATGTAAATAATGTACATAATACCTCATCTCAGAAATATAGACAGATACTGTTTAGTGATTATAACTTTTCTGCCTGGTGTAATTTGTGTTTGAGCTGAATATAACATGAACCATTTCTTGAAAGTTTAACTCTAATTTCAGTAGAATATTGTATTGTAGTGTCTGTAAGAAATTGCTGTAAACTAATTTTAAACAGTCGGTCGTAACCGGATACCTATGACCGTTTCTCTCGACAATGAAGTACTTTTCAGTCCTATCAAGCATATGCTAGGGTTTATTCTAAACTGGATGAAGATGGGTTTTTTTTTATTCTCGAAGGAATAAGTATTCGCTTATAGTGACATAACTCGTTATCTATGTGTTCTAACTGGTTCATATTGGCGAAGAGAAAGAGAATACGGGAATAAACGGTTTAAAGTTTTTCACGAAATTGATAGTGGCTTAGATATCAAAGAAGTTGATCAAGAATTGGCCCAGTAGAGTCACTTGTGTGCTATGCACCAATTCTGACGTGGTGAACTATAAGTCTTTCTAAATAAAACCTCCCAGTGTTAGGAGGATTAGATGCAAATTACTGCTCCAGTGAATTGGATTTAAGTGTGCAGCTGGAGATGTATTAAGTTGCCTGTGGGAAAGTTCCACTAATCCGTTGGTACAAGAGAAGTAAGCTGTCGTTTTGACATATTTAATGCCTAACAGAATTTTTAATTCCTTAAAAGTACTCGTTTGAATTGCGGTCTTCGGTCTGTCGTACTAACGGTTCGATAAAATTTGAAATCCGTCAGTTGAAATATTTGGTTAGTGATTCTGTTCTTTTCTTTCAACGGAATTACAACTGGCCATCTTGTAAAAGTGTCTATAACTGTTAAGACATGCGTGTAACCATTTGATGGAGGAAGTGGTTCGATATATCAATGTGGATATGCTGAAAATGTTACAGTTTTCTTTTGGTGATTTCGTATGACAGAATATCTTATGTTGCTGTCATTGCAGGAAATTATGAGTCACTGTTCTAACATCCTTATGCTAAACAAGACGAAACAGTCATGAATAGTTTTCGCCATGGCCTTCTTTCTATGACATGGTGATTTTCTAAGCGTAGCTTAGATGTGGCACAAGGCCGAAAGTATGGAGCACCCAGTGAGTATCGAGCTCACTACTCGGTCGTACCACGTGGAAGAGACCTTTCTTTCTTTAATGTTAGAAAAATGGTCGAGAACATTTTCGTGTAATGTTTGGTACGTATGATCTTGCTTTCGGAGTTGATATAGCACATCAGATATCAGTAGTGGTGAAAGGCAATTGACTGTTTGAATTGTCTGAATTAAATATTTATTAAGGACACATGGCACAGTGGATAAAGGCGTTGGTTAAGTCCAGTGACAGGAACCAAAGAGTGTGAGTTCAATACCCGGTTAAGGCAGCGGAGAACTTGGAGAGAGGAATTAACAGGAGATATGTGATAACTGAAATCCATTAAACATGGCACGTGGAACTAGAACAGTCTACCCCAGCGATCGACATAAAGGATCCAGTTCGACATTCCAACCACCTGAAGAAGGCCAGAGCGTACAACAGCCGAAACGCTGTAATAAATATGGCGACAAAGATGAGGACAATAGTCCGAATAATGTAAATAGTGTTGTTTATATTCGCTGTAAAGAAGTGTCTTCCTTCTGATAGCATGTCATGATGTTAACGGAGATGATTAGCGTTCAGTGTTGTTCGAAAAAAGGTGTATGTGATTTTGTTCTTGCCGGATAATTGTCGAATATCGGTAGAATGTTGAGTAATGTCATCCAGGTAACGAGTATAGATGACACATCCTGATTCTGTGTAGATGGCAAAGTGTCAGCTTTCCAATGCGTCCGTATTGTTTAATAGTAACATATCTGAGTAAAAGTTTCCCGCCAAAAAATCTTCTATTTTTGTTGCACTAATGAGAATTGCATAATATATAGAATGTCTCTAAAGTCTGGACAACCCAGGCAAATATGCATATTTTCAAGAAATTAAATTTTCAACAACATTTTATTGAATTGGAATATTAACAAATAACATCTTCAACATGATTTCCATCATTTGTGATGCAAAGGTTAATGCGCTTTCACGTAAACTCGATGCAATAACTCCACATTGCCGCCAATTTTAGCATATTAACTCTATGCATTCAATCAAGTGTGTTGCATGTGTGATTTTCATTGAGTACACCTTCTCCTTTAGCGTGCGCTAGAAAAAGAAGTCAATTCTTTCTTCTTTCGACAAAACCATGTTTAATCTGTGGATGCAAAAAAATATAGTTAATGAGATTTCCTATGTGTCCAGATTTTAGGGACACCTTGTATAGTATGTGCTGTTTGTATCATTTCATATCTGCTGGGTCTTCTTTTATGTGTCTTGACCCTTCCGAACACTGACAGTCATGGCTCTCTACAACATTATCTCCCTTGTAGCTCTTAGTAACATTTGTTACTTTCCCATATCTCCCACTCCCCTTTGCCAAGCTTCCTTTCAACCATGCATTCATACAATCTCGCCAGCAGATGGACCACTGCTTTCTTGTGTTCATTTTCTCTTCGATTTATCCTGTGAGTACCAAATTCTTCAAGCCAACCCTCCTCAATATGTGTCCCCATAATTTAAGCTGTCTCTTTCAGATTCTGAGTATGTGTCTTTTTTGTTACCTTTTTCTTTAAGATTACTGAGTAGTTAAAAATATAAATATATATAAAGGCGTTCATGTTGTATTCGTCAAATAATTGTTACAGTAATTCTTCCTCCCAAAAATACCCAGGCGTCAGTCTATCGAGAAAGTTGCCAATACCTCATAAAAACACCCACCTCCATGTAAAAAATGCTTTTCTGCAATAATCTAAACAAAAAATACGTAACATTTGTTTGAAATGAGATTAATTAAACCTTAAATTAGCTAATTTTTCTACAGTTTCATAAAGGTATAATTTAAAAAAAAAATATTTTTCAATAAAGAGGAATACGTTGTATTGACATATTTTTAACCATTCTTAGATTATTACAATAAATTTAAATTCGTTCTGAAACAGAGCAAAGTATTTTGCGTATTGGGAATGTTAAATTCAATCTATTGAAATAAAAATTAAAATAAAACCTTCAAGAAAATATTTCATTTTAAAAAAAAAGTATTTTAAACCTTAGGTATCGCTTTTCTTTGGAGGTACCTACACTATATAGATTGTTATCCAGCGATAAAATCCTAATCCTAATAAGTGAAGGACTGTTCGCTGACGTTCCTTTCGCCAATAGGGATGTTGTGATGTCTGATAAACGCAGCTTTTTCACATCCCGCATC